TTTTCTTTTTTCTTCTAATAACGTGTAAGAGTTGAATGATTGAGATTGTCAAATGCGGTCTATACTAGTATTTGTCTAAAAACTTTTAGATATTTTTGGTTTATTTGATGTTAGATAAAAAAAAATTCTTTATATTAAATTATATTTCTTTAACACATCTAATAATTATCACAGCACAATCATTGAATTTGTGCCTCTAATGCTTTAAAACAAAGTAAGTGGACCATATTGGCAAAAAGTTCTGTATATATGTACACACACAGGGGATACACCCTGTGTCTTTATTTTTGACCTCTGTTAAGATTTTCACTGTTAATTAATGTTTTATATAAGATAAACGTAGTATAATTGTCCAGTTAATCAGCTGAGCAACATTCAAGTAAATTTTTCCATTTTCTGAAACAAGATTTTTCAACAGACAAATCGTTTTCCGTTTACTTTGTGTGTTTGTGTGTGATAGGTGGTGGAGAGGGGTCTGCAGCATGTGCTGGTGTTGGAGGATGACGTGAGGTTTGAGCCTCAATTTAAAAGGAGGTTACAGACCATCATGGAGGATGTTGAAGAAGCTCAGCTAAACTGGGACCTCATGTAAGAACAACACCAGCTGAAAACAAACACATGAGACGTTTTCATCATTCACAAAAGCATATTGATCTTTCTCTTTCTACATCTCTCTCTTTCTTCTTCGCTCTCCATAGATATGTGGGCCGTAAACGAATGCAAGTAGCTCAGCCGGAGGTGTCCGTAGAGGGTGTTAATAATCTGGTGGAGGCTGATTACTCATATTGGACTCTAGGTTATGCCCTTTCACAGCAGGGGGCCAAGAAACTCCTCGCTGCTCAGCCATTTGGCAAGATGCTCCCTGTGGATGAGTTCCTGCCAGTCATGTTCAACAAACACCCAAAGTAAGTGTGATGCATGGATGGGTGTGTGGATAGATAGATTGATGGACAGATAGATCAATGGATGGATGCAAGGATAGATTGATGGATAGGTCGATGGATGGATGGATGGATGCATAGATAAATGCATGAATGGATGGATGGATGCATAGATAGATACATGAATGGATGGATGGATGGATGCATAGATAGATACATGGATGGATGGATGCATAGATAAATACATGAATGGATGGATGGATGGATGGATGGATGGATGCATGGATGGATGGATGGATGCTTTTGGGAAGGGCCAGTTCTTCCTGTTCTCTGCTTCAAGGGACAAAATTCCCATTGATGGATCTCTGAGTTTTGGGGGAAGGGCCATTGGTATAAGACAGATGGATTACTGTATAAATATACTCCACTTTCTGTGTGTTTGTGGTGTGTGTGTGTGAGAGAAAGAGTCATTGTGTAACCCAAGTGTGTGAATTTAGTGTTGTATTATTGTAAAGTGTAGTAAAAAATGCAATGTTTTCATGTTGTTCAGATAGCTTTACCCATTATAGAATAATTTAATTGTACTAAATATGCATTAATGTAAAACATTAGTATGCAAATATTAAGATGAAGAACGTTTAGGGTCAGTAAGATTTAAAAAAAAAAAAAAAAAATTTTGTAAAGAAATTCATACTTTTATTCAGCAACAATGTATTAAGGCAATGGCTGTTGAAAATTAGCTTTGCCATCACAGTAATAAATTATATAAACATTTTTATTATACATCAATTGTGTAATTTTTCTCATGCCCTTGCTTTTCTTCTCCCCTCTCCGCATGTCTCTCTCTCAGTACGGCATACATGTCTCACTTTGATCCCAGAGATCTGTGTGCTTTCTCTGTTGAGCCGCTGCTGTTGTACCCAACACACTATACAGGTGAGCCGGGTTACTTCAGCGACACAGAGACCTCCACTATTTGGGATGACGAGGCCATCAACACAGACTGGGACAGACAGTATGCTAAAAAAACTGCTCAGCAGGAACAAATTCGCTCCATTGCTCAGAACAGTGTCACCGGGGACACACCACCGCCTGCGTCCCGAGCCTCGCGAGACGAACTCTGAGTCCTCAACGTGTTCTCAAACTACACAACTGAATGACAAAACACACTGACTCAGACAACTCACTCCTCAATGTCCAGCAGTCCCCTCCTCCTTGGCGACACTTCGGCCAATAGCATGACAGCTGGCTGGGATGCTTGAATACCATTGGCTGGCTAGTTGATTTTGCACAAAGACACACAAGCTCCTTTTTTGTTTTCACTTATTTACTTCATCATGCCTTCCAGTGGACACTTCAAAGTGTTTGATGGATGAAGAAAAAAGGACCGGATGGAGGAACATAGACATATGGGAATTAGATTTGGGTTTGCTAGTGGATGAACAAGACAGATGAATCTTTATTTTAATGTTTTCTTTTATTATTTTTTTTCTTTTGTAATATAAAAACAGATACGGTTTATGCGCAGAGTACTGAATAAAAGAATCCTACACAGCCTGTCTACATTTCTACTGTATATTGTCAGGAAGGAAATTATAAGTTGATATATATATATATATATATAGCATCACAAATTCACTTTTAAATGTAATTCATGTGTCTAATATATATTAGAGCCATTAATTAAGAGCAGTGGTTACATACTTTTGTGGGGAGGTTGTTCAAATCTGTCTTGTTTTTGCATAATTTAGTTTTATTGTATCTAATACTCTAAAACTCTTATCTAAAACACGTGGAATTTTCTTAAAAGGAGAACATGTGACTTTTGACACATCATTCACTGGTCATTAAGTATAGGATTTTTTTTTAATGAATAAGAGCAACTGTACAAGAACAACTGTTCAAAGTGTGTGTGACAAAAGGTGTTTTTGTGTTATTGTGAACATATTGTCACTAATTCCTTCCAGAATATTCCAGAAGGCTCATGTGTCTTAAGAATGAATGGATGGATGGATGCATAGATAGATAGATACATGAATGGATGGATGGATGCAAAGATAGATACATGGATGAATGGATGCATAGATAGATACATGAATGAATGGATGGATGGATGCATAGATAGATACATGGATGGATGGATGGATGGATGGATGGATAGATGAATGAATG